AGGCGGGTGAAGCGGCATGACGGGGCTCCGGCTCCTGCTAGCGCTGCCATGGCCTGGGAGGTGCCAGGTTGGATGGACGCTGCTCTCCTGGAGAATCTGCTCCTTCCAGCACCCATCCACGTGGTCTACAGATGCCAGGCTGCAGCCCAGCATCGTCACTGAATTAGCAGGAGAGGTATCGGGCATGACTTGGAGCTGGCTGAGGGAAGAAGCCAACGTGGAAATTGGTGGGGGAAGAGAGGCTGTGTCAGTGTAAATGCCGCGCTCTGTTCAAATGGGATGACTAATGGAGAGCAGTATCCTGCTAGGGGAAATGGAGGGAGAAAAAGCTCCACACGGGCAGGCAGGAAGAGGTGTTTGCAGAGCAGCATTTTAGTGGGATAAAACGCCTCCAAAGGCAGCAGTGTCACCTTACCCAGCAGCCGCATTGATTTCCACCATGGCATAAACTTGAGCCCTGCTCTTTGCTGAGTGCCAGGCTCCCAAGGCTCTGTTTCTGGTTTTATTCTTTTCTATAATTTAACATTTGCCTTTGTCTCTTCCTCTTTTCATTAGTTCTCCTCTCATCAATTATCAGCTGTTGAAATGATGGCTGGTTGATGTCTCAGAGGTTCATTTAACCTCTATTGAGCTGCAAGTCGTTATTCCCTTTTTATTCCTGTTTTATCCTTGAGTTTGAAGGTGCCCTGATGTGTCAGACAGGAAGTATGCTGGATGGAGATGCAAGGGTTAGCTGAGGCTCTGCAAGGTTGACTCATTCCTCAACCTTCTTTTTTAGGATGGAAGATCTTGCACAGAAACCAGCATTTCCCTGGCAGCAGAGGTGCTGGGGGAGCCCCTGCTCTGCTCACAGGTCCACAGGGAGCCTTGCAGAGAGGTGTGGGACCAGCTGGGAAGGTCTCCCAGCAGCTTGCGCAGGAGGAAGGGAAGGCAGCAGAGCCGAGAGCTTTGCTTAGAGGAAGAAACATTTGCATCCTGCTTTTTCCCCCTCAAAAAAGTAAAAATTTCTCCTGCTTCCCTTGCTTGGCAGTCCTGCAAGCTTTGGAGCATGAATGACGCTCAGCTGCCGGTGGTGGGCAGCAAGGAGAGGAGCCCTGCGTGGAAGAGGAGTTGTCCACAGAGAAGGCCCAGAGAGCAGCCATAGCTATCATCCTATACAAGGCTTTGTATTGTTTAGGGGAACAATTTGTGTGATTCATGAGGGATGTTCAATATGTTTATAAATATATATTTTCACAATTTCTCAGGAGGTTGATGGTTTGCAGGGGTGTTTCTCCAGGAAAGACTGTCTTGCAGTTTTGCCCATGTTTGCATGTTGTTGAGTGCTGTGTTACTGAAACCATCTGAAAAATCCCACTCTGAAGTCCACCCTTTGGAGAAACACTGCTGTTCCCATGTGTTGCTAAGCCTTTTGCACTCCTTACTTTCCTTTTCAGCCTTAAGGTTTAGGGGAAAACATAAACATCCCAATTCCTCTGCCCAAGATGCGCTGGCTGCATGACCAAGCCTGAGAGCAGCTGGGATCCATGTGGCATTCACACTTTCCCTGTCAAAGGGCTCCTCTGACCTGTTTTCTCTTTCTCCCCACAGGTATGCGAATACTCGTCACCCTGCTGTTAGATACTCTGCCTATGTTAGGCAACGTCCTCCTCTTGTGCTTCTTTGTCTTCTTCATCTTTGGGATTGTCGGTGTACAGCTCTGGGCAGGGCTGCTGAGAAACAGGTGTTTCCTAGACAGGAATTTTGCAATGTAAGTACAGCAAAAAAATCTCCACCTTTTCTTCCTTTCTCCCTCTCCCCTGCCAGAGAAACCCCGGCGGTCAGCAGGGTTAGCATCCAGCCAGGGTGCAGCCAGGGCCAGATCCAGCAGCACGTGGATGAGAGCAGGACGTGACCGTGCCACACAACTGTAATGGCAGCTCTTAACAGGGCTGTCATCTTGATTCACAAGGTTGTTGGCTTCAGGACTCCGAGTCTGGCTAGGTATTTTTTGTATGAAAAAACCTATTTGTCAGCAAGTAACTGAGGGTTTGGAGTGGTTTTTCTCATGTTTTCCCTCTGCACCTGAAGGACAAGGACATTAGTGGTTTGGGTTATCTCTGTCTGGGAAGCTGGGATCCCTGACTCTGAGAATTTAAGGATTTAGAACAAACAAAAGCATTAGAGCTCTCCTAAAATTACCAGTTCCCCAAAGTGTACAGGTCTGGGAGGTCACCTCGCACACCACACCACCTGGCAGGGAGTTGATTAGGTGGTCTGCAGGCTGGTACAGACAGCACCATGGAGGTGCTGCTGAAACAGATAAATCTTTGTAAGTGTATTAAGATAAGAAGTTTGATGTGAAAGGCATTAAAGACATTTGTACACTGCTCGCAGTCTGGGACAGGCATCAGGGATTGGAAGCACGTTTGATCACAAGCTCTTTTTGATGCAAACTTTAGTTTTGCTTCTTGCAAGCTAGGCAGTTGCATGGACCAGAATCCTGACCAGGTGCTGAGGGTGCTAATGGGCCTTAATTGTCCTAATGACCCTGGCCTGGGACCCCGCCCACACCCTGCCCGTGGCCCAGGAGCTCTATTTAAGCTCAGCCTGTGACTCTCAGTCCTGGTTTGAGCCTGTCTCCAGCTTTGTATTTATTCTTGTTTTCTTTGGCTTCTGCCTGAGTTCCCTTGATGGAACCTGGATCTGATTCATCACTTGCCATGTCTGGGGCTGTGAGTGGCCACTGCTGCCAGCCCTGAGCTCTGCCTGCTGTCTTCAGGCTCTGTCCATGCAGGTGCTGCTTCTGGCTCATCCCCTGCCGTGGGGCAGCCTGGCTCTCTCTGCTCCCCAGCAATCCCTCAGTGTGATACTGAGCTTGGGCTGTTTGGCACTTGCCCCTTCAGAGATGCAATGTAAGGGCATGCCGTAAAACCCATGAGCACAACAAAAAGCCTGAAGCTTCCACAGAAAAGGGAGGTCTGCCTGGGAAAATCCTTCTGAAGGGCTCCTGTCAGAGACTGCTGAAGATGTCAGTGCTCAGAGGTGAGGAAATGCCCGAGACCAGCTAATCAGGGCAACTCTAGATCTCTAAGAGAAGATAGGGCCTGTAATTATATCTGGTTGTAATCATCTGCTGTCTACAACTTGTATTGTGTCTGGAAGACAAGCAGAGATTATCCCTCAGCTCTAGACCAGGTCCTGTTCCTGCCTCTCACTGATTAGTCCTGTGACTTTCAGCTCTCTGACCCTTCCTCTGTGCTGCAGACCATCTCTGATGGGCATTACCCATCCCATCAGAGATGCTGAAAGGCAGAAAATCGATGAGTCTGCTGTGTGTGTGTGTGCACGTGCACTTCTGCTCCTGCATCTTGATGCTCCAACCTTGTGAGCTCTCCCGTGTGCCCACGGCAGGTATTTGCTGGTCACAAAGACCCTCTGTCACACAGAATAACCCCTAAGGTGTCATTTCAAAGCCCAAAGAGTGGTGGTAAAGCTGTGCCCGGGTGGCCCTGTTGCATGGGGCAGCCACCGTGCATGGGCAGTGTTTTGAGCACAAGGAGTGCAGAGCTGTAATTAGCTTCAGCAAGTCCCTCTCATCTCTTTGACCAGGTTTCTAAAATGCTGTGTGATTTCCTGCAAAGTGGAGCTTTTAAAATTAACCACAGGGGAAATGTTTGCTAAGTAGAGATATTAAGCAGCCCTGGGAAAGCAGGCTGTTATATAATGGCCATTAGCAGCATCAAAGGCGTCGTAGGATTTTCTTATCCAGGGTCTTGGTCCCGGTCACTGAAGGCAAAATCAGGTTCCCTGTGCTAAGCCTCAGGATGTGTTTGAAGAGGCACCAAGGTTTGTGAGAGACCTCCTCCTTCCCGCTTCACCACAGCTCTGCACAGGTTTCTGGGGCCCCCCAGCAGCAGGTAGTGATGAGTTTGGGTGGCTGTGGGCTGTTGGTTGCCTGTGTCCAAGTCCTGTTGCTTGATGCCGTGTGCTCAGGGATAGTGTGAACCAAGTTAGAGCATTCCAGAGAAATTTGGAGAAATGAGGCTTCTGGCATGCCCACGGGGCAGCTCTCTTGTAGGACAGGGGTACCCAGCTCTGCTGGTGCCAGTGTCAGTGTAACGAATGTGGGTTGCTCTGGTACCGTCACCCGGACTGAAGCTACTGTCTTGCTCTGGGTTTTTCTGGGTTAGCTTTAGAGCTGAGAAACCTGGCTGTACTGAACCAGTCCCTCCTCTTCCAGCTAGAAACTATCCCAGGTTGATTGGAGCTTGGTGGGAAAGTTTTGGGGAATCCAGATGGAACTATTCCTATCTTTTCTGTTATTTCTTATTCATTGTCCTGGATCCATAGCTCCAGGCACTGGGATATGGTTCACTCCTGCAGTGGTCTTTAAAACCCCAACAGCAAGTTGTACGGGGGGGAAAGGCATGGAGTGATTTCAGTGTGGCAGTAACGGGGAAAGCACTTCAGCGTTACATCATTCTGCTGTTGTAAAGAAGGGCTAAAATATACAGGACTGGGCCAAACTAGCAGGTCCTGCTGACCAAGATGCCAGCTGCCTGCAAGATAGTGTGGAGACAGAGGGCAAAGTCAATCCTAGGGTTAGACTGGAGAGGGTCCATCACTTTGTGTCCTCATGCTCCATCCCTGCACCGAGCTGCCATGCTTGGCATCAGTGCTGGAGAGCCCTGACCATCCATCCCCATGCAGGGAGAGCTGCCTAAAAGAAGAAAAACAACAATAAAACCTTCACACAGGGGATGCAGGATTAAAGTTAAGCTCTGGGTTTGGTTAGAAGTAAACAGAATAGAGCTCTGTGGGAAGGGGGAATGAGATTCTGGTCATTTAGTTTTGTCTGCCAAGTTCCACTAAATCCCAGTGGTGTTGTCCTCAGCCTAAAATAATGTTTATTAGCCCTTCAGCAGACTCAGGAGCTGGAGGATGGACAGGCATGCTGTGCACCTGGGTTGGGGCTGAGCAGATGATGGTCCTGGTTCAGATTTTCCTTACAACCCCGTAAAGGGGAAGACCTGAGTTATTGGTGGGGCTGACCTTGGTGGTGGTGTCAGACCCCCCCAGATGAAAACAAAACTGCTTTAAAGCAACGGTGAGCATCTGAACACAGTCCGGGGTGCCAGGCAAGGAATGGTCATAGCCCCAAAGGTTTTCTGGAGTAAAGCAAGTGTAAATGAGCTCAGAGACTGGTGCTTCAAATATAGTTTCTTCTCTGCTGCATGTTTTTTTGCACACTCACTGCCAGCAGCTTTCTGGGCCATTCAACTTTACAGCAGGCATCAGTTAGAAGAAGTGACTTTGATTTTCCCATCATTCTTTTTCCTGTGGAAACCTTTTCTTTTAAATCCCCCTTGAAAGTTGTCTGCTTCAAGTAAAGAAACTATTTTTAAATATAGTACATTCCGATAAAAATTCGGGGACTTCTTTGAGGTGCACTGGAAATATCTGCTTTCTCTCTCTCTCTTTGAAAATTGCACTGTTGCAATGCAAAATCATGCTGGAAGGAGGTTGTTTTATTAAGAACTCTCTTTCAGTAGTGACTTTGAAGGGATTACAGGCAGTTACTGGGCTGTTGCAGTAGTGAGTTGGCAAGCAATAAACTGGAGTGGGTCACTGCTGTTCCGGACATGTGGGAAGCTGTCACTCCGTGGCCAGCTCTGGAGACCAGAGTGGTGCTTCAGAGGTCCCTGGTGGCTCAGAGACCTCTTCAACCCCCCAGGCAGCTCGCTGGCCAGACTGCTCATCCCCTGGCATTACTCAGCAGTGGGGAACAGCAGTGCCAGGATGGTCTCCACTGCTATGTGAGTGAGTGCAGGATATCCCTGATGGAGCTGGAGGGGGAATTTCAGAAGGGCTTTTTGGTTGGTGTGGTCTGAGAGGGGAAGGCTCGGTATGCACGCGTGGGAAGGGCAAGGGAAGCCAGCGGTTTATCTGTAAGATCTCCAGGATGTGTGTCCCCCCCTCACGCAGCCCCTCTGGCTTCCTCCTGCCATTATGAGTTGCTGTCACTGTAAATAAAGGAATTAGGTCACCCTCAGCTTGCTGGGCTGTTGCTGTTCCTTGCTTGTGTGTTGTTATGCAGGGGAGCATTTTACCCCTCCTGAGCCTTTCAAGGAACTCAGTGTGTTGGAAGGAGAGGGGAGAGCTGTGAAGTGCTTTGTATTTATCTAATGCTGCAGGACAGTTATAATGGGAGCACTTCAGTCTTAATTAACTCCGTACCTGCTTGGCATTGTACTGCCTTTGGCTCCTTGGCTTTTGTAGAGCTGCAAGAAGGCACAGACGGCCAAGGCAGACAGCTCTGAGTTTGTCTGAAAGGTACTTCTGAGTTCTGCTTAATTGCTCCTCCTGGCATCGCTCTGTGCTGCAACGTTGGGTTGTCAGCAGGATTTCCTCCAGAGAGCAGCCTCCTCTTGGAGGGAACGGATCCTGCTTGGTGCTGAGTTTCCTCCACCTTTTCCCTTTCCTCCTCTGCTACTCAGCTGTAGCAGGACTGTGTTCAATGCACACACACCATACTCCAGCAGTTGTGGATGTTCCGCATGGGATGGTTGTACTGGGGGGACAGAGCCTGGGGTAAGATGGAGGAGAGAATAATTGTTCAGTCTCCTTTGACGTGGGAAAGAATGGGCTTTCCTGCCCCACTGCTGTCCTTCCCGCACATGGATGCGGTCAGGGACAGAGAAAGGGAAATACATTGCAAAGCTGCTGTAAGCCCAGGGGAAGATGTACACTGGGCAGCTGGCTGAGAAAAGGGTGTTAATCCTTTCTAATGTGATAACAAGATCCATTCTGGGGCTTAGTTTCTCATGTCTTTTCCCCAGAGCACAGGAGTCTCGTGATTAGTGGATTAATTACCATTAATAAGTTATTTGAACTATGCCTGTTGGCAAGTAACAAAGGAAGTCAGATTGATCTTTTCTGCACGTGGAGGTAGATGGTCTTGGCAGAGCCAGTTCATTTGTTTTGTGGATATTGGGGATTCCCTCATTCTGCAACACTGTTGTTTCTCATTCTTGCTCTCCTTCTGTCTTTCCCCTTTTTGGTTTTGCCTCCAGGGTCGTCAAGCAGAGGAACTAGAAGAAGGTTTTGAATTTGCATTGCATGCTGTCAGTTGGTGTGTCCCTTCCCCACTGCACTCGGTGGTGGCAGAGGACCGTGCAGGTGTGGGTCCCTCCCAGATGGACGGATGCTCGTGGTGTCTCTGTGCCCACGGCAGACATGGGAGAGGGAAGGGCTTGAAAAGGGCTGGACAGAAATTGGCCCCCATGCAATTGATTTTGCCCTGTCATAGGGAGGACTTTCTTTTAGTTTGTAAATTATTTTGGGGACAATTGCAAAAATGAGCAAGGCAGTAAAAAGGGAGGATAAAATTAGGCAGCGGCAGAACCAAATCAAGATTCATCCACCCTTCACAGTCAAGCTGTGCTTTGTTTTCCTGGTTTTATTTTCCTCCCACAGCCACCAAAGTATGTCATTCATTTGATTCTCCAGAGGGTTTGTGCCCAGATCTTTTCTACGCAGCTTATTAGATCGCAGCCCGGGGTGCTGTGTCTGCAGGCAGTATTTCTCCTTCAGCCCAAGGCTTCTTAAATGGTGACTCATGGGAAACATGCAGCCTCTCAAATCTGTGGATGTGGCTCATCAAGGGCCATTCCAGTTGCAATATGTAGTGAATGGAGAAGCATTACATGGGAAGGGAGTGAGTCGGGTAGGTGTCAAGCCTGGCTGCATCCCCTCCTTCCAACAAAACTGGGTATGTGGGCTCCAGCAGAATTGACTGGCACACTGGTCTCTGGCTAGCTGTGTCCCTGGCCACCCTGCCCAGCTGGGGTGGGCATATCAGGAGACCAGAGACAAGCTCAGGGGACCAAAATAAAGGTGATTCATCTGTGACAATGGACATGTGTCAATCCTGCAGCTGGGAGGGCAGACAGCTGCAGGGTTGCGTGTGGCACTGAATGTTGTGTGTATTGTGCCGTGGTGGGAGAGGGAGCTTGGGTGTGAGGTCAGAGTGGAGCATCATGCTGATGCATCAGCCCGTCTGTCTAAGCACTTCTTCCATGGTCAGTGTTCTTGGCACAGGCATGCGTGTGTCTGCATCTAAACATGAAACTGTTCCCAGGAAAGGAGCTTGTGCAGCCATAGCTGCTAATTACACAATCATCCCTCCAGATGGTCCATCTCTCTCTGCAGGTCCAGCTTTGCTCTGGGTAGAATCCTAATTACACTGACCCATGAGCTGCAGTGTGCTGAGCCTTCCCATCCTGCCTGCTGCCAAAAGGTGTTTGTGATCAGGAAACTCCTGCTGCTGGTGTTGTGGTGGGGTGCTGCTTCCAGGGTAGTGAAGGAAATAAGTTTTTGCTGAGTTTCACAGCTCCACCTGGCTCTGGAGCAAGTTTTCCTGGATGATCAGTTGTAGTTTGGAAGAGTATTTCACTGGAGTGGCACATCCAGATCAAAGAGCCTTGGTCAGCATTGTTTGAACGGAAATGAGAAAGAGCAAGGGATGCTCCCAAGACCACACAGGGTTGTTGCAGGGCTGGGAGTTCAATGTATAGTTTTAGGGTTGCAGGTTACTGTCTGAGACTCACCTCTGTGGCTGTTTCTGATGCAAGCACCAGGTTTGGGCTTTGAGCTGCCCAGACAAAGTTTTGAGTTTGTATGACTTGTCACATCGGGGATTTGAGAACTGCAGAGATCTGTTGAGCCTGAGCTGGAGGTCCAGGTGCTTTGATGAGAAGGTACCAAATGAGATGTCCCCTGCCATCATTCTGGGGACTTAGAGTAGCTCTTTGCCTGGAACCCACAAAATCCTGGCTTCAAGAGTGGTGAAGTCATCCCCAGGGAAGCCGGTCATACCCCAGAGTCCTGTGGCTGTGATACTTTGCTGTATCAGGCAGTGGACAGCATAGTCCAGGCTTGGTCTGGGCTTTTGGGGATGTTAGACCCCTGTCACCACCACAGGATGTGGAAAGCCCTGATCCCAATGTCCTGTTTGAAAGACTTCAGAGCTATCGAGCACTGCTATAGTTCCTTGGGAGGAGGCTAATGAGACATGCACCCATGGCCTCTCAATCCTGGCAGTTTTAGAAGAAAATGTCCTTCCTGAGGCTGGTGGGGCTGGGATGGCTCTGCCCTGGGCTGCATCATGTCTCATGGGGGTGCAGAGCCCTCCCAGCACCTTCCTGGGCAAGGAGGTTCAGGCAGGCACTGTGGCTGTACGCAGAGGCACCCCAGGTGTGTGGGGTCCCCACCACTTTTATTTGAGGGTGCAGGAGCCCTTGCATCTGAACGGAGCCCCTTTCAGCATACCTTCTAAGGCCGAAACAGAGCTGCTGGGGCTCTGTCTGCCACTTGCGAGTTAGAAGTCACTTCTCAGGTGTCTTTTCTCCTCCTCCCCCTGTTTCTTCTCTCAAGTTCCCCAGCTGTCTTTGCCTGCAGTCTGTAGCACTCCCAGACACATCCGTGCACCTCGGTGTGTTTTAATCCTTTGCAAGCCTCCTCAGTACCCTCTCTGTGTGACAAACTCTGCTGGTTGTAGTATCTGATCTAGCAAACACGGTGCTAGCGTAGCACTTAGCCTTTTCTTTAGCTTGTTTTATATGGAAATTTCCTCCAAGTGAAACCAATTTGTGGGAGGAGAAGGAGAAGGCTTTTAGGCAGTCCTGGAGGAAAAACATTTTTCAAGTTTCATCCTTGTCTCCTGAATCTAAGGCACAGAAACTAGGAGGAAGCTGTTACAGTTTTGTCTAGAGGTGTGGGAACACTATTGCAATGGGAGGGGAATAACTGGTGAATACGTTTAATCATCAATGAGCAATGCCCAGTTCCTCTGATGTGCTACTCTTGCCTATCCCTGAAGCTGGATGAAGGCTCAACACCCATCTCAAGTAATTCATTGATGGAGAACCACCAAATTCCCCAGGAAAATTGTTCAGGGTTAATTTCCCCTCAGCTCTGCCCTGCAGCAATTGTGCTGTCCTTAAAGTGCAGTTGCTGAGTGACTCCTGCTTGACTCAAGGGTTTTGGGAAGCAATTGTATGGAATAACACTAGTTCAGCACTCACTAAAGCCAAATTTACTCAATAGTTAGGTACATTCAGAAACAGATAAAAATACAGCTGTCCTGTCTTGAAGAATTACCTGCTTATCCTCTACCCATATCTCACTTGGTTGTATAATTTGTGTTGCCTTTTCCCTTATCTCCTGACTGATTATATAGCATCTTAGATCCCTGCAGCTCTGAACACAACAGATAGTCAGCTCTAGGACTTTGCACCTTCTCATTTTGAGCAGTGCTTCAGCAGTGTGAGTGCTGGTGGGTCTCACTAATGGTAATGAAAGAGCATGAAAAGTCCTGGGCTCTGGTTGCTCACTGATCTGCCCCAGAGCATGACTCAAGAAAAGGCACCTCCCTGCCATGCTACAATTAGAGCACTTGCTTATCTTAGCTGTAACAGAGCCATAAACTTTATCCAGGCCAATTAAATCAGATATGCAGTAAGCATGCAGTTCCCATTAATGTGGGCTCTTTCTTTTCTTAGGTAAGTACAGAAGGAATTTGAGATGGCCTGTGGCTGCACCTCTCCTTGTTAAAGTTCGGCTCACTCATCCCAGAGAGGTGCTGAGGGGCAAATTTATTGGAAAGCTGCTTTGCCATCAGCTTTTCTGAAGCATGTTCTGAGCATCAGAAGAGCTATCTTAAAATCCTTAGATGGAAACAAAAAGTTCCCTAGATTTTTGGGAAGCACCTGGCCCTGCTGGGATTTTTTTTCTCTATACCATCTCATTTCAACTGCCCTGTTCGCTTGGGGAAGCTCAGGCTGATCTTTAACTGAAAGATCACTGGTGCCTTACAGGATGCTCTAAGCAAAAGGTTTTGTAGACAAAGGTGATATCTCAGCTGTGACTTGCTGTCCCCAGTCAGATGGGGCTGAAGGGCAAAGGAGAAATAACACACCCAAACCAGGGACAGAAACCAGCGCCTTTTGCTGCTGATGAAACAAGGGATGCATTGTTTGTTCTCATCCTTCTCTTTCTTCCCCCTCCAGGACATACAACCTTACCTTCCTGCATCCGTACTACCGGACAGACGAAGCAGAGGAGAATCCATTCATCTGCTCATCGCATCGTGAAAACGGCATGCAGAAATGCTCCAACATCCCAAACAGGAAGGAGTACAAGGTGGAGTGCACCTTGAGCATGGACTCCTACACCCCGAGTTTATACAACCCTGACTTCAGAACTGGAACCAGTATTACAACGTATGCATGGCAGGGGACATAAACCCACACAACGGAGCTATCAATTTTGATAATATTGGATATGCCTGGATAGCTATTTTTCAGGTAGGATTCTCCTAAATATTTTTCTTTTTCTTTTGTCATCTTTTGCTTGGAAAGATTTTGATAGATGCATCAGAAGAGAAAGGAATTTGCTTGCACCTACATAAAACTGCAAATAAAGACACGTTGAGTAAATGAATCAGACAATAACCTGCACAAATGTTGCAAGAGAACATTTGGGGAGAACAGCCATTTTTCACTACGTTTTAGAACAGGGGAAAAATACTTCTTGAAGCAGACAAAAGCATGACAAGTTCTAGCACTGCAAATCAGACCTGGATAAATCCCAGAGATTTTTGAGAGTTAGGGTCTTTATTGCTGTAGTATCAGGAAATTGAGAGTGTTGTCCAAGTCCTTAAGCAAGACTTAATATCATTCTAAAACGTAGGAAGTAGCTTGATGGCATGGGCTTGATTCTAGAATTACAGGGTTATAGCGGTTAGCATGATATGCTGGAGGGAGGAAGAAATAATACTAATGGTCCGTTCTGGGTGGAATACATGTGAAGAGATACTACTCATGTGGAATTTGAGTCTCTCTTGATCCACACCTACACAGCTCTTCACTAGAGACCAAAGTGCTTCTTGCTCAGACTGAGGGAGCCTTTACAGGTGACAAAAACACTCCAGCAACTGAAGCATTTTCAAGCATTTGTAGCTCTGGAATGTTGGATACCTCATCTACACAGTCCAGAGGCTATGGTCTCTTGGGGGTAGCCTATTTTAAATGAGCCGTGTGCTGTTTTCCATTTTTAATTTGCACTTTCTGTTTTTAATATAAATTTCTTTATGCTTTTGGCTAGATGCCCTGCTTTATTTAGTCCTCCTGAAGTGTTGGTGATATCTATTCCTAAAAGATAAAAAAAAATCATCTCCTCCTAGTTTTGTTAATGATGAATAATTACTCGTTCAGAGCTCTAAATTTCATTTATGAATTTCCTTCTAGTTTCATAATGTAATATGAACTTAATAACTTTCAGTTTTCATCTGGAAGTTGTAAAGGGGCAATTGCTTGCTCTGAGCATCTTGTTTGTTCTCATACTGTCACAGTAGCATACCTTGAATCACACTGCTGCCAGTGTCAGAGGCTTAAAGCCAAATCCAGAAGGATTCAGGCAGATTCCAAGTCTCTACTAGGCTATGTTTTTTAAAAATGCTTTGGGTCTTTCCTGGAATTAGTATTTCAAGAGAGGAACTGCCAAACTAACTTTGAATTTTCCTGCCTGGTAGTGAGTGTTGCATAAAGGAAAGAGGGAAATCAAAGCGAGAAGAGTAGATAGGTCTCTGGCTGCACTTGCATTCTTTTTCTGCTCTTGCATAGTTCTTTGATGGAGCTTGATGGATGTGCCCAGGAGGTCCTGTCTGGCTCCCACCGTGGGGCACCAGTGTTCTTGCCAGAGAAAGGGCAGAGGGCAACATGCTGCGGAGTGCCTGTGCTAGTGCATTGAAAATGAGCAGGTGCTGCTCGAGGGGTCCTGCTTCCTTTTTACTTCCTGAGCCTTTTTGCAGGTTGCAAGTTTTCATTTCATGTTGGTATTTCATTTTCTCCGCCTGAGAATGTACAGTTTTAAGCCAGGGAGAACACACCAGCCACAGCAGAGGTTTCAACTGATTCCTTTGGGCAGAGCGGAGTGCCTGGCAAAGGTGGATATTGTATCCATAGATCATTCTGGCAGCTGCCAGGAGGTTTATGATTGGTTTTAGTGCTGCTTAGGCCATCCAAATGCTAGAGTATTTCCAGCCAAAAACTCTTCTTACGTCTTTATTCGTTTTAGTAATAAGGATTCACTTTTAGAAGCTGAAAACAATACCACTCCAGGTAAAGCAGCAGCTGTTGGGACTAAGGTGCTTGCTTAACTTTGATATGGAAAGACTAAATCATTACTGCAAGAGGTTGGATGCTAAACCAAAACAGTTGCTGTAAGCAAAGAACATTTAACAAATAAAGCTATTGAGTTGTGTTCTTGTTACATTTAATAGTTGAAGCTGGGTAGCACCAGGTCAGCGGTTAGATGAGGCCTCAAAGTATGTAGTGCAGATAGTAGAACTGATGAGTTTAGTAGCTCAAGAGCTTCCCTGTGAATTGGTATTGAATTTCTGGGCAGAAGGCACTCTGTTCTGGATGAGACAGGTCCAATTGTCTCAATCCTTTCTGGGGAATAATGAATACGTGGTACTTTGCAAGAGTTATCATGGTGGACTGAACCTCAAGGTCTGGCAAGCCTCCAGTTTGCGTAATGGCTATCTTAGGACTCAGCTGGATAGAGCATCCCTCATGATTTATCCCAAATAAGTTGGAAATCTAGTATGGTTTAAGAGCTGTCAGAAGGGAGGTTAGTGAAATAAGCCCCACAGGTGAGATTCAGAAGGAAGCTTCCAAGGGCAGTGATGGCAAGTCACACCCAAGCATTTCCAAGGGTGCAGTTTGATACTGTGCAGACTGCAAACAAACAAAACCAAAAGCAGACTTTGACAAGGAAATGTGAAGATCTCATCCAAAATGTCCTTGTGAATGGTGTGCCAAGGCAGGAGGCAAGCAGTATGGCTAAGCTCTTTCAGCTGCCAGAATTTGGATTTAAGCAGTGAAGCTGAAAGACATTAAACTTCATGGTAGTGATCCTGAACTTGCAAGTAACCTGGCACGTGGCAGTGGGGCGTACCAAACAGTGAAATGTACTGTTGACCTTCCAAGCAGAAGAGTAAGTGAGATGCATCAAACATGAGAACCAACCTAGTGCAAATAATTAAAACTTAAAGCAATAAAGATGATGGCTGCATCCATGGGTGTTTGAAAGGATAATCATTTCTTATGTAATCCTGCAAATGATTCATGTTTTGATTCCCCTCATTTGTTGTGTAATAGGCTAATTCATGTATATATTTGTTACAAAGGCACGTTCAATGGCAAATTATGTGAACTAATTAGCTTATTACAGAATAAATGAAAGGAGATGGAACTTAAATTAACTGTGAGGTTTGGCATGATATTAAGATCCCTTTATTGCACATGAATTTCAGCCACAACAATAAGAGCAGTAATTACAGGTATTGTTGTCACGCTGCAAATGATGAATCACCCAGCTAACCAAAGTCCAATTTAATTTGAATTATTGACAGTCTCAGTGGACCAACCAAAACACTGCCACCTTCCAAACCATCAGTCTCGGTGCGGCCAGGCCTGAATGCAGAAACCCTGTTAAAACAAAAAGGGGTTGAATGGCTGGTAAGATACGCAGTTTGGGTAGAAGAGATGATTTAGGCTACTTTGCAAACCACAGAACCATTGTTTGGATGATTTCATGTCTGACTTGCAGAAAAATAAGACCTATAATAGCACTTTGCATCAGGAGACAATGTTTTTGGCAAAACTAGTGAGGCAAAGTTGAAGGAGCAATAACCATCAGCTAGGCAGAACTAAGACAAGATCAAGGGAACAAGCTGTTCTTCTGTGCCTCCTTCCAGGGTGTAGCTGCAAGGACTGAACTTTGGGAGCAAATGTACAGAAAAAATTATGTTTCAGGAAATGTCCATCCAATACAAGAGAAGATTTATCTGGCAGTTCAGAGAGGCTCTTGACACTGCTGTTGCTGTCTGAGTTACCTTTTCTATGGCCTCTTCTTCACAGACTGTATTTCAGAAGTAGCTGCATTTTCTAAGGGGCTTCCTTAAAGAAAGACCCTCTTGAAATTAGTTCTTGGATGCAGCTCTCAGATTCATGATTCTGTTTCTGGCTTATGTTATTCTGAGTGCATATTGCTTCTATGTGGTTTTGCTTAAGAAGACATCTCAGTTAACAAGTTAATCAAGTCATACAAGTAACACATCTCTGGCCCATCATCAGAAGGCCCTAGCGAGGAAATTCTCAGAGGAGACTGTTTTGCATTCAGCAGCCCCCTTGCTGCTGTCAGGGAAGAAAAAAAAAAAAAGCCTGGTTGTGTTCACGAGTGCTGAAGACAGCCCAGCAGGCACATGACATGATAAGAATGCCCAAGAAAGGAAAAGCTGAATCACCTTCTGAAGAAAGATGTCTGGAAATAGAGCAGAGTTAAAGAAACTGTCAGCAGCAGCAAGAGTTCAAGGTGTTATCTTGATAGCGTGCTTAGATGGAGAACTTCTCTTTGCACCTGGTCTCACCAAAGCTAGGAGTATGTTACAGCCACAAAGGGGTGGGTGACCAGCTCAGGAGAGAGAACAAGTTTGGGGTGGGAAGGCGGGGGGATTGATGCCACCCACTTTTTCCTTCATTTGTCCTTCTGCGGATACTTTACTCCTAATGCGATGGCAGGCTGCCTGAGCAGGTACGACAGCTGGCAGTGACAGCCGTATGCTGCAGGCCACCTGCTGAAATCGCCCTTTTGTTTAGATGTGAAGTTACCTCTTCTGCGCTCTAGCTTGTCAAAAAAGCCCCTGGGAGCTTGTGTAAGCTATCTCAATCCAATCAAGGATTTATTCATTTTGACCCTGTGCTATCTGCTGATGAGGAGCTTGTTTTGTCTCCGTGTTGCTGACTCCGCTTCTGCCAGGATCTGCACCCCTGCTAGCTGTGCCTGTAGATGGGCCAGCTGAGAAGGTACAGAGCTTGGGGGTGGATTTCAGGTTTGGAAAGAGGAAGGTGCATTTGTCTCGTTTCAGCATTGTTTGGTGTCCTGATCTGTTCCACAGCAGTTGCCTACTTCACATTGTTTCAGCCTCTGTTCATCGTGATTGAAATCCTTCCGTGAGGATTTCTCCCTTGCCTGGAAACCTTTCAGCTAACTCTGTAATGGAATCATATTTTTCCATTCGAATTAAAGGAATAAAATATATGCACTTCAATGCCCTTCTGCTATGGCCAAATGCAAGAATGAGCTTGGAGTCCCTCCTCGTTTCTACTGTCATTCAGTCAAGAAAAGATCTCATTTGAGGAGACAAGACCTGAAGCTCTAACGTTGCTTTCCCTTAGACTGAGCACAAACCTCCAATCTGGAATCTATTGGCAGGGTCATTCCTCTTGGTTCCTACTCA